TCGACATCGTATATGCGTCCAACTGAAGTTCAACATCATGTTCAACATGGAATCAATATTCCAAGCGCCAAATTCCAACGGTTTTTGATATGTTCAACATGGGCCGTTCGAATGCGGTCAATTGTGGTCCATATCCGGAAATGCGAAAGGTCGATGATGAGTTACCTGGATATGAGAGCGCAACACAACAGCGTTCGCCACGAAAATCATTCATTCTTGAACATTGTGTAAAGTGCCCGGTCTGCGAAGATATTATGCACAAGGAACATCTCAAGGTAAATTGATCTCATTCTCTATCAATCTCTCTCTTTCTCTCTTGCGGCAAAGTAACCGAAAAATAAACGAAGAGAATAAAATACATTTTCTCAATTCAAGGGACACCTTCAACGCAAACATTATGCTGAAAACAATGGTGTTCCCATCATTTATGATGGGTATCATAAGTTCGACATTTGCCATAATTTAATGCCAAAGGAGCACATTCAAACGCACATCGAACGGGCACATGGCAACGAAATGCAAAACAAGGACACTTTCATTAACTGCAATTTGTGCGAAGCATACATGCACAGTATAAGTATGAGTATTTTTAAATTAATGTTTTTTTTAAATATTCCTTCTAATTAAGGTTGTAGTTCACTCATTGTTTGCATTTTTGGTTCAATTTGATAGGACTATATGCCAGGACATTTGGTGCGCAAACACGCGAGACATGAAGGTTCGGTTGGTATCATTTGGCCACAATACTCCGACGAACAAATATACGACTGGCTCAGGACCAGAGCCATTTACATTCGCGACAGTATTATCTTTGTCGATCATACCATGTGGCGCTAATGAAACATTGCAGTTTCATGCGAAGTGTAAACAACATTCAATTTTTACTATTTTTTACTCCATTTTCAATACTCAATTTTATTAAAAGTAAGCGATCAATTGGCAAATAATTTTTAATGCATCAAATTGCATGACATAATCATAATTTGTAGAAAAAATCAATGAAAAATTGTTGAAAAGATGCCATTTCAAAAAAAAAAATGAAATAGAATGAGTCTACAGAGTAGCGCTGTGTTTTCAGCTTCTTTGTGCATAGTGCATACCGACAGCAATTTTATGATGAAATGCCGAACGAAATGTCCAAAATATGGAACAATATGATTTGATATGCTCCAATCAATGGGTCTATTTTTCTACATTCCAAATTATTCGCTCGGCTTTTTATCATAAAATCACTGTCGGTATGCATTGTGCACACTTAGCGCTTATTAACAAGAGCTGTGATAATAGCGATAAAAAATTGTCGAAAATAATACGATCAAAATGGATCAAAATGGATCAAAATCAATCGCAAAAGGTTGAACAAAAATTAGTCGAACCGAACGGACAAAAATCCAAAAAAATGAAAGAAAAGATTGAACAAAAGTTTTCTTCTCCATTTTTTTCGAAGAAAAAACAACTACAAACAAATATATTGACAACTCAAATTTTACATAAAGCAAAAGACTCTAATAATAAACTTATGTAATTCCCTACATTTATTTATAGAAACAAAAACTCATTTTTTATACGAATAAAGCACACAGTAACTGTCTTAAAGGCAGTTATAAAAATCCGAAGAATTCATTTGTTTATGAAAAAAGTTTCTTTTGTTTATACAAAAAAGTGTAATCAATGAAGGCCCGAATAGATTTATTTCAGATTTGGATGGAGAATTTTCAGTGTAGTTGTTTTTCAGTGTAGAATTTTCACCTAGTGTTGTGAAAATTAAAATTGTGAAAAAATATCCTTGGAAAATTCAAAAAATAAAAAAACTGTATGAAGCTATTTTCTCAGAGTCAGAAATTTGCCGACGTAATAGGAGAAGATCAGATTTTCTATGGAATCGATTTGCATAAAATATGAAAAACTGTAATCATTAGAAAAAACTCTCGTATTCCAAATCAAATAAAAAACCTCTATCGAGGTGAAGAGCGAGTGACGAAACCAAAATTTGAAACACAAAATTTCTGATATCAATTTTGTGACGAAAATACTTGATAGATATATTTTCTGTGAACTGTGAATATAAACTTAATATACATTTGTATATTTAAAACGTTGCAGAAATTCTCTCCTTTTTACTTTGAGTTCATACTGACGCAATGAAGCAACGTTCCGAATATACAAATGTA